GACACTGCAGCTCCACTTCCGAATAAGAGATGAATCTAAGAGTTTCACCATTACTTATTTTATTCATAAATTGTTAAGTTTAGCACTGAGTGGACAACACAGACGAGCCACTTCTAAACATGAATTGGCTACCATTGAAATAAGGAACGCTTCAGAATTTGTTATAACTGCTATTTAACTGTTTCTGTGGTTTCTCATACATATCCTTACAATTACTAATGAGTACACTGAGAAAAAAATTTATTATGTTAATAACAATGCTGAGATATAAGCAAAACACCGGGCCGCAGGTGAATGAGGTGGGTAACGAACGCACTATTACCTTTTCCGGGGGCTAACGCGTTCACCACCACACCATGCGAGTATTTTATTTTGCCTGTCTCACACATAATACCCCGCCATGAAAGTTTATAACAGTAAATAAAAAAGTTAACATTGTGATTTCGACTACAGCCTCAGCTTAACTGGGTTCATTGCCGAGTTGGGTTTCCCAGATTAAACCCGTCGACGGGTGAATGCTGATAGAACTTTTAGATAGAAAACTAGCTGAAAGAAAACCAAAACGAAGGACCTGCATGGCTTGGTCCTTAACGCGTTAGCGACCGGAAAGGGGAATAGCGTGTTCGTTCCCACAGACACCTGCGGGCCGGTGTTTTGCAAATATCTCAGCATCGTTACGGTTGTATTTCTCATAGTAGCCTGCCGCGAAAAAATATAGAAGGCAGAGAATAGAAAGTTAACATTGTGAGTTATGTTCATGTTTAAAGTAAGCAACTCGGACCAAAACACCGAACAGTCTAGTAAACAGGGTTATGGTTTGATTTCTTCTTCTAAAACGCAAGAACCGAGTCTTTCCAATGATAAGGAATTAGTGGTAAAAGAAGTTGTTATTACAAATATTTATCCACAATGGCTGATCCTTCGGTGGTTCCGCTTTCATCGAAGCCCGGCAAGGTCAGACGAACGCCTAACATTTTCACTTGAACACTTTCATAACCTCAGCAGATAAAGCTTAATCCGTAATTTTTCATTCACATTGTAAACGAATTCTTTTAAACACTCATCATTGATGGTGTATGCACTAAGATATATTTGCCGAGATTATATGAAAATATTCGACAGAAAAGACTGCGTGTCCATTTGACCTTTAACCTCTGAAGAAGGGGAAAGCGCCGAAGTATTAGCTGTGGTTAATGAAAAAACATCGTGTTAGCAACAGCATGTTTGCTCATCAAGAAAACAGGGAATTATTGATCAATGCCAAGGTTAAAAGTATATCGGTCCTGGGATTTGCAAGAGAAAGAAGTACTGAGAAAACAAGTATTAAGGTCAATCTCGATCAAAGTAGAAAACAATGATTTTTGCTTTATTTCCAGAAAGGTTCATCAAATTAGCACTTTACAGTAGGATTTTGAGACAAAGGCAAAGCGACTTCGCTGACTTTATCTACACGTAGGTCGAAAAAAGAGTGGAAAAACTTTCGGTGGTGGATGAATTTATAACCCAACACTTCGCGTAATGCTAAGCGTTAACATGCTCGGCATCTAACCAACCAAACCATTTCACTGCAAGTCCACTGTCATCATAGTTGGGTGATTGAAGGAAGAACTGAAGAACCTCAAACACTTTCCAAATTTTCGAGTTGAAAACTTCGTGTCCGTTGTCCTTTGGATATTCCCTATTTATTTGCTACGTTTAGCAATCGCCCTCATCTCATTTCTATGTGGTCCGATATGTGGCGGAATGTATGGTAATCCAATTATGGCCATTGTTCGGCAGACGGCGATGCACCTTCTCATCGTAAGTGAGGAGAATTCGGGCGAACAGACGGATCTTAGCATGAAGGTGAATGAGTTCAAGGAGAATCACTGATTCCACCTATTCCTATCACGACCACGACGCCAATCTGTAATCGCTAAGAAGTTCAGCCATTCTTTTGATTACTGGTGGCTCATCTTACTGGGCAGTTACACTGCTTTTGGTAGCAGTAAGAGTTCAAGGGCTAGTTAGGACGGATATTGGAGCTTGGAATACTGTCGCATAGACCATTTCACTGGCAGTCACATAATTGGGTTATAATAGGCCTCGCGAAGAAACGCAAAAAATCAAGTAGTACCGAGTACTCGCCCTATTTTTTTAATAGAACTGGATCACCATTAGTGAGAAAGTTTCTGCGTTCGGCCTCACAAAAAATGTCAGCAGCAAAACAGCTATTTATTTGGACTTTAGGTGACCTGTTGCCACATATATTTCAAGTTCCGGCACTTCTATTCGTTCTCTTGCTTCACAACTGTCATCCATAGATTTGGTCGGGGTAGATTATAGATTCGGTTATAGTTTGAAGGCCTATTATCTTCCTTTCTGAATACTGGTTGAAAGTGATTTCCCAGAAACCCATAACCATGAATATGAGTTCCCACGTCTTCATCACGGCTATTCACTAGCCCTTATGAATCAAAGGAAAGTCTCTCTCTTGCGATTTGGTTTCTTTCATAATAGAAAAATTTTTGCAACGACTGAGGGACTTGCGACTAATCCACCGACGGCTGGAGAAGGATGTAACAGATCAAATTTCCCGTAAAGTCATAAAAGGGCCAGATATATAAATGAATAAAATGAGGCTTTGTTGTTACAGTTAAATGAATGATCTTCATATCCAACTAACGAAGAGACGATTCCTCATGATTCCATTACTAAAACAGCAGTAAATAAAAAACTTAACACATTTTTCTAATTTCGTCTACAAAGTAATTCACAGGAGAACCCTAATAGGAATTAGGTGCTTATTCTTCCATCAACGGTAAGTCCATTAACGACGATGCTAATCTGAAGATAAGAATTCGTTATTCAGCATCAAAGGGCATATCTAGTTATTTTGTTTAACGTTATAACCGACATATGGATGACTTTCATGCTTTAGTTGTGTAAAGCTCCTCATTTGTGTTGAGTTCATGAACGGCTCGTTTATGGCTTGCCTTACTCGCCAAGGATATCATGCTGGAAAAGTGATGCCGGCTCAGCGAGATGGCCAATTAGCAAACAGACAAACAAATCTAGATAGGAGCTGAATTGAGCAAATACGGATTGATCATAGGTGGAGCAGGCTGGCACATAGCCAACCCAAACAGCGCCAAGCTTCCGCCGACGATGGTCGCACGGGATTCTACGAATAGCCCTTCTATGAATTGCTGCATCACCGTTTAACGAAACAGCAACAGACCGTGTATCATTTTAATCATCACAAGTAATTTGTAACAAAAATAGAAAAAGAGTTGGCATTAATTGAAGGGTTTTGCATTATTAGTTCCACCGTAACAAAATCTACCATATTGAGCACAGTGGTAAGAACTGCTCTCCCATACAAACAGAGTCACTGGTTCGATCTAGTGCCTGCACTAACCAATTCACAAATCCCTGCATAACCGGAAAACTGACACCAGATTTCTTCGGAAGAAAAAACATTGAGTTGATAGGACTCAGCAACTCATCACATAGGCCAATTGTCCCATACATTTTGTCGCCTCCTTGATGTTTAATGGAGTCGAACCCTTGGACCTCAAGGTACTGATCAACGTCAATCGTTTACCTCATTGTTCATACTTATAAAGTATTGCTTTATATAACACAAAAATTGATTTATTTCCTTTTTTAAAAAAGAAAAAGTTTACATTCCAAGCAATGAGTGAAAGCACTAGTACTGAGGAGGTAAGGGCGTTTGGAAGCGCAGAAGACCGACCATCCTTATGGGAATTTCATTCGAAACGCGGATGCGGTGAGTGAAAAGCTAACGGCCATTCAACAACCAAGCAAGATTCGAACATGATCGATGCTTTCAGTCAAAAGCGACTGAAACAAGTAGGAGATGGATATATTCGAAGTAATTGATTGAAGATGTCAGGACTATCGTGCCTAGAATTATTTTCAGTAATTCTCATTAGGAATGCAAGGAAGAAAAGCTGGTGAACAAATAGCTGTTATAAATAATAATAACAGCGTTGTTCATAGAAAGTGTAAAAATGGAAGAAAAGGTTGAAAAAAAAGAACCCCATGAAAGCAAAAGCTACGCATTGGAATAGTGCACTTCATATGATAGCCAGAAAAATAAGCAAAAAACTACTAGAAAAAGAGATCGATAGGAAGCTAGCTGAGAGACAGGAGAAACGAAGGACCAGCATGGTATGGTGGTGAACGCATTATACCCGGAAAGGGTAATACCGCGTTCTTTCCCCACCGAAGACACCTGTGGTCCGGAGTTTTGCAAATGTCTCAGCATTATTGTGGTTGTATTTCTCGTAATACCCTGCCATAAAAATTTGCAGTAGGTAGCAAATGAAAAATCAACATTTAGAAAGCAGAGACTTTTGCAAAGATTTCGTTGATTAAGTCTAACTAACATCATTTCGATGGGTTGCATTTATGCCCCCTATTGGAATATAATAGTCATTTTATAAAAGAACTAAGTTAGAGTGATAAATTATAAAAGGATAAGGGATAAAGATCTCGGCGTAGATCAATTCACGAAGAATGCGCCTTGCACTCGACTATGCTCCATGCGCTTGACTTCATTAAGCATCATAGGAGGTGACTGAGTGCAAATCTGGCCTTTACAATGACTTGTGGTGGTCTAGCGATGTATCAAGCTAGTGATGCTATTCTCCCAGACAAGTCTGGTATTGATACCATTGGCACCAGAGGGATAAAAGGCTTGGTTAGCCGGGTGCGCGATCGATCGACCCCACGTGAGTGTCGCAGGGCGCTTAGGACCACTGTACCACACGCGTCCTTTGATTCAAAAGAAAAGATAGATTATTTATAAAGTTTTTCCACACAATATCAAGTACCAGAAGCAATAGCATAAATAAATGTTAACTATGTGCTGAATAAATATTGATTAGAAATAGTGGAAATAATGCTTCGATATGAGCAAATCACTGCAATTAAAAATAAAAGACGTCAAGTGCTCATTAAAAGTCAAGTAGTATGGCAGCTTGCCAACAAACCTACCTGGTGTCGTTGTCGCAGAACCTGAGCAGCTTCGTCACTCTGGAAAGCGATCGCATCTGACGTGTGTTTTGCGACTGTACTGTGGCGATAAAAACGTAGTGCTCATGGTGGAAGATAGTCAAGTACTGCATATCAAACGACAGACGTAGTTCAGCTCGTAGAAACACGGCCGCCTCCCCTTCAAGACTTCCTGAACAGGCGACAAATGCTTCGACTAAGAGCGAAAGCCCACGAAGAATAAAATTTCTGAATACCATTGCAAGAGGTTGTAGTACTTCATGAGATTCTTCATCAGACTACTCAAAACAAATACTTGACCATGTGGAAGATTCAAGGTTGAACTATTTAGCTCAATCATGAACTTTGAACTCTTGAATCAGCAACGCTCACCAAACCGCTTAGAGCATTCTTTGAAGATAATTTCATACGACGACCTTTTCAATATTGTTGTTTGAAAATTCTACTTCAGTGATACATCAAAACGATCCAACGACTTACTCCTTAAGAACAACCGGGATTTAAGCAACAACCCAACACTACGGCTTTTTATCTTGTGATTTATATTTATCATAATACGAACTCACCCGCGTTCAACACCAAGTAACTGGGTAGTTCTCTGACGGCAACAGCGGGAAACGGATCTCTATATGGAGAATCGCCCGAATAGGAAACTGCCACAGCAAGACGTGTGGGTGAAAGCACCAACGAAACACAGGAAGCTGTCGGTAAAATGGAAGCGACCGGCACGTCTCCTGACGAAACCATTGACAAGTCGCGAAGAGAATGCATGGAGCAGATTCCTGATGATTTTATCTTTCTCATGCATACTCTAACCTTCTTTTGTACAAGCTCAAACAAATTAATACGGTTTGAACGGAAGGAGTAAACTAAACAAGCATTCTACTAGATTTAAGTTGAACCACTTTAGGCCTGTTCTAATTGGATGTCACCGACGATCTGACTTTCCAAAATAAGCTTAAAATAATAGCTTCTTTCATCGAATCTTCTTAGAAATGAAAAAAATGAACAAAGATAAAAATAAAAGATAAAAAATAAAAATAAATATGAATGAGCTACAAAATGAAGTATTAGTGCGATATTAATCAATATTGAACTCCTTTTCATCGTTTCTACCTAGTTTATCCTGCACAATGTTGAGTTCTCATGAAGTATTGAAGAATCTGTCACCTTGACGAACGGAGCCACAATGCAGCACACCGTCGGGCAGTACTTGCAGTACTTTGTTGTGATTGTCGGTGTCACGTAACACTGCATTCTTCAGACAACTACTGCCGTCAAAACTGCACAGAACGGAGTCGTTGATGGGGCCGGTTGTCAGTGAGTGCAGCGGCAGGAGTTCGTCTGTGGACAGCACGACAAGTTTGTTCACGGACCCGACATAGATCTGCAATTTCAAACGAAATGCATTTGAAACCATAGAATATAAAAAACGATTCTCTAGATAAGGGATGGCTTCTCGTTTCGTCGGGTTGTGCCCTTGTACCCTCAGGTGTCGTATTTTGTCTTCACTCGCTCATTAGCTGAATACTTTATAAGAAATATCTTCATGGCCTCACGACCCCAACAAAAGGGGTGTTGTGCATTCAAAAGTATTTCCGCGTCAAGAAGAACAATGACCGTATGGCAACTCACCCTCTTCTAAATGGCAAGTGAATGCTTTTGGTCCTCGCTTAAAAGCAATTGTTCCATTTAAGCTGATTGAGTTGCTACTGTGAAAATGTATTTCCTTTTAAATAGAACAAATGGTACAATATAATGAATGGTCAATCTACTAGTAAGTAAATTGCACTCTTTAGTGGCTTGCTTCGACTTCGACTTCAGCCATTTTGTCAAAGACTACAAAGGCAAACAAGGAGCATGCCTTAACATGATAAATTAGTAGTGGTCCGTCAGAGCATACGCATCCAGAATTTTTCTCGAAAAAGCGCTCATAAGTGACCCATAGCTTCCGGCGTTATTCATACCAATATCACTTTCTGGCGCATTCACCTATAGAGGGGAATTCAAAGACGTTTAGGCGCACTACTTCATGAAGTTTTGATGAAAAAATTTTTAGGAATCCCGATGTGCCGAGTTGCCTTGGTCCTCTTTCAGAATTTGGCCTCATTTCCAACCATATAGTTGTTCATCGTGTAACTTCAAGATGTCATTCAGCACTTACAACCGAAGCCGTGCCTCTTACCTTATTCCTTCTTAATTTTTAGAAGTATGCCCCGTAATCCAGGGTGCAAACGTGTCTAAGAGTTAAGGGCGCTGTAATTATACAACGACTGAAGGATGTCTCGTCACTGAAAACCACGGAGCACGTTTCGGATTACTGGTACTCCTCCCGTTCTTTAGTTGGACTGTGAATGAAGGACGTTTCCTTGCTAAGGCATCACGCTGAAAGAAAGATAGGCGTTCGTTTCAGATTAATCATGGCCTCTCAGCTCTACCGTTGGACTGTAAGCGAAGGATGTTTTGTTGCTGAACACCAAGCCGAGAGCTAGCCGTTCCTTCCGCTTGGATCGTACATCTCACCATCGCGATGTCCACTACGCGGATTAAATTGCGCAAACTTATAACATATTCATAGGCCATTACCGCTGATTAAGTGTCATGCTCGATGTGCTCAACGAAAAGCTTATCGACGTCCACTTCCACGATGATTCGAGCTTATATGTACGAATATTCCACTACTACAGTATTTGGTTTTCGAATGAACTGGCTGACCGAATATTTTGCTTTAGTGGTCCATTTTGCTCTAGTTACCATCTTATTTCAATTACTTCCTAGTCTGTTATTAAAGCCCTTTCTTTTTCATTCAATGAAAATAAGTATTAGTGACTCAATTTTCAAAACTTCATTTCATCTTGCTCTCATTGAAAATATTTTCCTTTAGATGAATGTAATGGTAACTATACTCTTATAGCTGCGTAGACAATACAAGAACGGATTATAAAAGTGAGAAATGTCACAAATATACATGAAGCAACTTAAGGGCTTCAAAAACAAGATATAACTACCATAAATGTCTTAAGAATGCTAACACATGGGATAGAAAACTTTCGCAGAGTTACCACTTCCGGAATTCCTCACAAGCTGTTGAATTTTTTAGTTCTATTTCCGTCTCCACCTTAAGGTTCGTCTTTGTTGTGGAGCTCAGCCATCACTTTTCTCAGCTATTTAGAGTGGTTTGCTACGAAGTACTTGCAGAGATTTGAAATCTCATGCGGATTCAGAACAAGGGCTGGCAAACCTTGCCGTCATCTATGACGACGTTATTGATGGTGGTCTTCGAGTAGTAGAAGTGCTGCGAGGAGGCGATGAGCACATTGTGGAAGTGGAAGAAGCCGATCAGAAGACGAAAAATTCCTCGCATCGCAACATCTGCAAACGCCTCTCGGGAAATTACGACGAACTTTCCAGCAAAATAAGGACAATTAATTGAATTGAATGGCGACGAGCACGAAACATCTCTGAACGCATGAAATAGCCGAAGGAGGCAAAGCGAGGTTCCCCTCGAAATTCAAGCATTAGAGCGAGCGCGAAACTTATAAGTACCAAGGAAGAAGTATTTGGAAAAGAACTTAAGCAATGAAACCTTTAAAAAGGGCTTGAATCATTCGCTAAATGCGTCATCCTTCATCGGAGAATGTCCTTCTCGTTATTGAGACATTAGCATGAGAGAAAAAGGAGTGACAGAGATTGTTTACATTTGAGAGCGTATGAAGTACAGGAATAAGCCGTCAACATAGGCATTCGGAGAACTTCGGATGAACACTGAACATATAAGCTTATTAGTTCTCATAGAGATTTTTATATGTATTGATCGCGTTGAAGAATGAAAGTAGTAGTGAAAAAAGGCGAAGGGAACAATCCATATGATTGAATGGATGAATTCCTTATAGTGAAAGACACTCATTTCTCAACAAATCGTAGTTCCATATCGGCTCTGTCTCGGCATCCATATAATGGAATAAAATCGCCCTCTCTCTGGCCAATAACAAATGGCTCTATAAGTCATCTCGTTTTCTAGCTATCTGACCAGAGTAATTTTTTGAGAGGAAAGAAGTGAGTTGCTTTGGAAGCGGTAGTAATGCGGTAATTCTTGTTTCCCAATATTATTTTTGATCCACACATCTCTTAAATGAAATAGTCTCGAGTCAGTTATAACATCAGCTACCGACTCCGCTCCTAAGTGTTCACTTATTAGTTAAACCTCGACCAACAGCGAACAGAGCACTTAAATTTCCACCTCCCATGTAGCTTGGAGTTGGGGTTTTGCGAATATCTCGGCACCATTGTGGTTGTATTTCACAAAGTATCCTGCTATGGAAGAATAATAGGCAGTTAATAAAAAGTTGAACTCAATCCCTGCTTATATATTCCCTATGAAAAGCACTTATTCCTTCGTACGTTCGGGTGCGTTTGCTGTTACGTCGCGCATGTCGACAATGAAAAAAGTAAACGCTTCAGTGAAAAGGGACGGTTCAGGGTCACATTCAGCATTTTATGTAACGTATATGGTTCTTAATTTGCCTTTCGAGCGAGCGGACATATTGCTCGGCTTCGAAGTGCGACATGAAAGAATCGAAACTCTAATGCTCTCAGTTTGAATGACCCAGTGATTAGCGGGAGAACACGTGTGAGAGTTTGTACAAGTTATCCTTTAACAACTTATCGAAGAAATGGCTTAAAAAGGAAAAGATAAGAAAGTATTTCGAGAGATTTGTGGTTACTGTAAGCAATGAAGAAACATAAAACATTGAGATGTGAAGAAACAAAAGCACAACCGATACATTTATAACGGTTTGTAATCGAATCCAAGCATCAGTATACAGCTCGTCAATGAGAATTATCCTGACAAATAGACAATTCGGCTGCAATGTCGGTGGTTATGCTGGTTATGCTATGAAATTAGCGCTCAGGGTCAATATGCAAATGAAGATGTGCGGAACGTAGGGGTATTGGTATGAGAAACTGACCCGGCTAGAGGGCTGGATTACTCTAATGGATAGTGGAGGCGGAGCACCATTTACGGAGGGGTGTGGCGTTGACTACTAAGGTGGCAACAATAAACAGCTCGCCACCACTTGGCCAATCAGCTAGGGTCAAAGAATCAATCGGCCGGAAGCTTGCTCCCATTACAGAGATAGTCAAGCAGGAAATGATGAAAACGAGAAAGAATAAGAAGAAGAAGCAAAAGAAACAAAAAGATAATAAGACCTGTAGTACTATAATCTTCACTTTTATTCACTGCCTATTATTACTTTTCACGACGGGGTATGATATTAAATACTTCTGGTGCAGTAGATAACACGTGAACCCCCGAAAATGCTAGTCGCGGGTTCGAATTTTATCTCTGGGGTCCAAGTTTTGATTTCTTTGTATCATTGTGATTATAACATTGTAGATAAGTATGTTTTATGTGGTAAAACTGCAAACCAGGAATCAGAAACAGGATGCCGGACGGGAGGTGGAGATAAAAAAGAAAGAAGGAAAAGAACTGGAGCGGCGAGTGTTCAAGAAGTGGCTGAATGTGGTAAAAAAACTGAACACTACATGAAGCAAAATCAATGAAGACACATCGTCCTTAACCTCTACATGAATTTCATTAGTGGGCTAATGAAATAAATAATACGCTTTAAATAATAGTGTGCTTAAAAATACTGATTTTTATAAAAAAAAAAAGACAATTTTATTAACCCAAGGAGGTCACTCAGCAATGTGGGTTTCCATTATGAATTAGAAGCAGCCGGTGACATTTTCTTTAGGTTTCAAAGGAAATAATGGCCTACTTTGGTCTTACGAAAATTTTGCAATAGATATCTAATTCTCGCATTATTAGTAGCACTACATTGAGGGTTATTTCTTAAAAACTATCTACTCATCTCTTTACACTGCTTTTTGTATAGAGTTTAAAATAACTCCGGACTGGTTCGGACGAAGCTCCCATATCCTCGAATTCACATCATTTTGCACCATATGTTCAAACTTTCACGACGTAGTGATAAGAAGTCGAAATATGATCAGTGGAAGGGAACGGCTTCTGAACCGAAGAATATATGGTTCCCATGGTTTCATACTCGAAATACGAGCATTTATGATGGAGAAGGTCCTGGATGCTTATAAGTAGCTGACGACGACCATCTATAGCTGGTAATCGATGGTAATCGAAGCTGATTCTCGAAAAAGGAAACTACTTGAGAGGTTGTTGAAGAACTCGACGTTCGCTATTCACCGAATGTTCTCAATTCAGAAGAAGACGAATAACCTCGACAAGCGACTGTGACCCGATTTCAACGAAAAACAAAGAGATTGCCGTAATGAAGCTGCTCTCAGCTTGTCACAAATTGAAGCAGCAATTACTCGATTGAACTGTGATGTGCGATTAAAAATGGATCCTCTTCGAAGATCGACGACGTTCAGTGCAGTTGTCGAACAGATATGAAGCCTTCTAAATACTCAAACAATTCGCACCAACGATTTTTTCATACGTTTCTAAGCTGCTGAGCCTACACGACGCTGATAATAAGATTTTCGACAGTTTTAGTAGTAAGTAATAGTGCTAATAAGACTTTTTGGTAGTTTTCACATGGAACCATCTACCAGAACTTGTTGAATCTTTCGCAAAACATCAAAGTACTGCCATATAGAGAAAAAGGTGAGAAAAGTACCTGGAACATCTATGATCCGTGGGTTTCAACGAATCCTACTAAATCATGTACGACTAATGCTGAGCAGCTAGTGCTACAGAAGAAGAACGAATCAGGCTATGAAGCCCTGCTCCGTTCAAAGTGCTCACAACGTGTTACTGTGAAAGTCATCTGCAACCAAACCACAGCAAGAAATTCTTTCGAAAAATCCGTCTCCGTCCCTTCTACAGCTTCAGATTTCTAAGCTGAAAGAAAAGTGAGGTTGCTGGCAATGAATTGCAGACTCTAAAGGCTCCCATTCTGTACAATAATGTTACGTCTGAGCCGATTCACAGTAGTTCATGGTTGCCCCTCAGAATCGGCTGCTTTTTTAAAAACTAATACCTATTTTATTTAAATAGAACAGTTAAAATAATGTTTATTTAAATACTTATAATGAACTGCTTAGAAGATCTGAAAGTGAATGTAATGAGGAACAGGTGCTTTTGAGGGAGTAATGCGGTTTCTGGAAAAGTGCCAATTTGTCTAGGATACTATTTTAGGGATATCCACGAGAGCCCATGAATATGAGCGATATAACAAAAAAAACAATAAAAAACGAAGAGATGGTAGTGAATAAAGAGGAAAAGGGAGAGAAAGAGAACAGTCGGTCACGTTTCGTTAGTGACGATTACAGAGGAGAGGAAGTCGATTAGCCGCAGCGATCGGTGTTCGGGATTCTGATTCGTACTGTTCGCAGCATCCGTCCATCATCGTAGTGATTTATGGCCTCGCCACCTTCCACACACCTGTGTTAAAAACAAACAGACTCGATAAGCACGAATGCAGCTGTGATGACGCGACCTGCTTGCCCTCAATTAACAAGCAAATTTGCTGTCCCTGACCTCAGCTATATCCACGAATCCGGGGGAAATACTTCCCCAAACACGACGTGCTTCATTATCGTAATCCGTAGGATGGTTTGACGTCAGCACTGTTAATGCAACCGATAGCTGATACCTTAAAAGATTTCACTTTTCTGAAACCCTAACACAGTCTCTTGGCTTCGAAGTACAATCTTAGACGTGAATCCTGAATGAGGATGAGAAAATAAATGATATAATGACTTAGACGAGAACATGGCTCTTCCAGACTCCGAAGACGAAATCTGCGAAGACGTCAACCGTTTTAAAATAAATCCTAAGTTGAGAAGCTGATGAGGATTCATCGGAAATACTATTGCTTAATGATTACAGCTGAAAATAATTGAAAAACCGATCCCAGAAAGAAGTGAAATTCAATAGTATTGCTGGTCGTTCGAAGGGATGCCGAGCTCCACCACATTGTGGATTTGAAATTTCCAGCTATGAAAAAGAGCAAGCATACAAAATCTTACCATCAATAGAGTTACTTCATTACTTTCATTAAAGGTTAAAACTAGTGGAAAACGACTATGACACTGAGATATTTGGGTAATGTGGACCTCTGGCCAGATTGGGGCCCGCAACTACCTTTTCCGGGGGCTCGTGTGCTACCCTCTGCACCATTGATGCCCTTGCCTTGACTTCCTCTCGGCCAATTTTCCACCAAGCGGTCCTATCAGCAATCATCCTTCAACGGGAATGATCTGTAGAACACAAATCGGCACTAAACCCAAGTAAGCTGAGGCTGTACTCGGAATCACAATATTTGCAATGGATATGAACAACAGCTACCTTGTATAAAAGAGCGTCGCCGGGTGAATATTGCTCATTTGAGAGAGATGCTCCATTGAAAAAGATCTGGATCCGACTGAATGCCCGGCGAAGACACCACCTCGAAAACAGGGACAACTGTTGACATCGACTCGAATCATCAGCTCTGATGAAGATGAAGACGTCGAAACGTTAACCAAATTAAACTTGTGTAACAAGCTCGTTTAGGGTCAACAATTTAAACACATGTCAGAGTTTACTGTATTGTTTGTTACTCCTAACAGAAACGATCAACAGCATATTGGTTTAGGGTTTCGATGTCAATCCTATTGGTCGAATGTGTTAGGTAGAATTCGCTAGGTTCATTTGGAATTCTCAATGTTTTCATGCTATTACTGAACCACCCAAAGCCTCGAACAACGCCTCATAGGCTTCCAAGTAACAATAGATGCGTGAATGACAGCCACAAGTCATCTGCACGCTCAGAATTCATCTGGGACCAACGGTTACTTAAGTCTGTGTTTCTTCTCTCTGACCATGCTCACTTTTTTCCCTTCACATTTTTGATACCCGTTTTCTGGTGAAGAAAGTGTTTATTGAAAGAGGGACCAATGCATATAATCTGACCTGACTCATAAGAATATTAAATTATAAATAGAGTGACAATCATGCGACGACGACGACGAGCAGGAAAATTATCCGCTCAGATGCAATTCCATTGACGAAAACCTCATTAAAAGATAAACGAAAGAGACGTTTAGAAACGACTAGCGAAGGAAACTAATGCTCTTAGAACAGCAACGATATTTCAATGACCGAACACTCAAGAGCGGTGGTAGGTTTACGGGAGCCAGCTCTACCGCATTGTTGTTCACCAAAACAGACCCCTAGACTATAAAAATCGTTGCCCCGCCGAAATTTGAGCCATGCGTGCTTGGCACTTAGGGAATTCAAGATTCAACATTGTTCAAAAATAGTACATTCAACAGTATAAAAGCAAAGTGGTCTATGTCCTAGGAATTAGGAATTTTTATCTCTATAGCATCGATTTTTGGAGAAACGAACTTATTTTTGGTAGTTAACCTATTGACGTAATTTTTTGATGTCACTGTAGTAATGAATGCATTGCACTGGAGACACATTTGAGGGACGAGTCAAGACATTTCGATTTCTCTCTCTTTTTCTTTTCCCTCCATCTCCTGTTTTTCCCATGTTTTATCCATAAATGTCTCTTCTCTCTCTCGTTTCGCATAATTTGGGTCCTTTTTGTGCTTGACTATTCCTCTTTGTTTTTTTCCTATCACCAAGAAAGTGAATAGATACAAACTAGAGGGATTAATTGGCTTAGTTGAGCGAAATGTCTTGGCAGGCTGTTTGTTGCGTCATCTCGATCGTCCGTAAGGCTACAGCAGATTCTCCAGATTCTCTTGGCAGAGGTCATAAAACCGCCAAACCGGAGGGATTAATGTCGTTTTTTAGACAGGTGAGAAAACATAAAACGTTTTACGCCGACTGCTACGATTAGAAAAGAACGAAAAGATTTTGCAGAGCAATGACGATTGGCGTGCTGAGAAAAGGAGAGACAGCGCGGTGCTGAAAAAAGAAGATGAGAAGAATGAAATTGTAGATGGAAGGCAAAATTAAAAAACTCGAGAAAAAAACGTAATTAACCGCAATTACTAGAGAAATAGTGGTTAAGCCAGAAATATAGAAGACATACAGGATGGCAACCATCGAACGGGATAGATGAATAGAAACGTTTCAGAAGACCTAGGAAAAGGAGAATGACGGGATGAACGGAACAGAGAAGGAGGAAATATGGAAAAGATTCTATAACATCAAAAGTGAGAAAGAAAAGGAAAAAATTGACTAAGAATTTTTGAACAATCTTCGAATATTATCTCAATCTTGCCGAATTCTACAGTTTTCTTCCTTCATTTTACGTTACTTTTCCTCCAAACTTCAAATCCTAGCTTGACTTTGACACTTCCGCTGAAGAAAGTGTAAAAAAAGTTTGATCCGTTCCAGGTCTTTTGAAGTTTCGAAGAACGCAATAAGTGGACATTATGGAAGTGGTTTGTTCATAAATGCAAGAAACCTGAAAAACTTAGAAAGTCGTCCAGAACGGTGGAAAAGCAAAGGCTCACAATGAGTTGGGTTGAAGGCAATGGATTACTGCTAACGTCCACCACCACACCAAACGGAAAACGAGCCCAGATTGAAAAATACCAGCGAAATTCGATGGTGAATGCAAGGCGAATTCATTGAAATGCCGTTGACAAAGTCCAACATTGCGATTCTGACTCTGCTGGGAGTTCTAGCAAAAAGCTGCTAACCGACATCGTACTGGCTGGTTCGTGTCGCTATGGAAACCGCTGATTTTCGCCATGTGCGAAATCCATGCCACCTTTTCACCAGTTACTGTCCTGTTTTCCTATGTAACAGTCGTCTTATTTTTGTTTGTTCATCAGAAGTTCTACCGTATTGTTTATGAGGAGAAACTACTACATAGATCTAGTACATATCAAAAGTGTTGCAGAGCAATGAAAAGTGCCAAGAAACCGCCAAAAAAGATTCTTGTGCTAGGACCTTGTAAGGTAGGTTTAGTTTTTGTAATGACCAACAATTCTGAAATGTTCAGCCATTAATAGGGTCAAATTTGTCCTATATTAATAATTTTAATCCACTATGTACCAGGTCTATTAACAATTAAGTTCATCTAAAATCCGTATGATTTGGTTAGTTCCATTGGAAGCTAAATTCTTAACGGTTAAATCTTATAAGCTTCCTTATCGAGAAAATTTAAGCGATTCCTGTTTTTCCTTAAAGAAAAAATTAGAAGAAACTTTCTAAGAAAACACTTAGCATCCTTGCATTGAACAGAAGAGCAACGAAAAATACAATGAATAGCTGGTTCATCAGCAGTCATAGCTCCATAATGTTGCGGTGCAGTTTCCATCACTTCCAGAAGGCTTGAGGATATTAAGCCCTCACAGCTCTGTCATTTACTTAAAAGCTATTGAGACAATCGAAGCCTTTATGCTTACAGATCTTTGAAATTCTGCTTTTCAACATGAAGAGATAAGTATCATGATTCCTTCTTCTTACGTAGATAAAACTGGAAGAGCATTAAGAACCTCTTTGAAGTGCAAGACGTCGGATTGTTCAAGTTTATAAGAAAAAAAAAACCGTCCAATGCTTGATTATCGAAGAGAAAACGATGGTGAGAGCTATGCCGAAGCAGTCCGGCCCCGAAGCAAACAACCCACTCAAATGGCTAGGAATTCTTGTTGATAGCATTACCTTAGACAACCTGCGTTCGTCACACAAGGTCGATTCCCACAAAGGCACCTAAGTGAATCTGGGAACACAAAACGTTCAAAATCGTCAGCCGATTTAGGCACATTTGCTGCCACAACCAAAGAAATCCAGATTTCGTTTGCAGAGGGAAATGAGAACATAATGAAGAAAACAAAAACGACAATAAAGTCGATTTTGCCAGTCTATCTTCTGTTTTCTCATGAGAATCCCTATTCTCCAGCGTTTCTAAAATTGAACACGAAATTTCTCTAATTGCTCCTGAATCACTATCAATTCTTTTTATTGGTGATGGGCTTCACAAACATCTTTCATCAGCTATTATTCTTATAACGATGGTAAGATATTCGCGAAACTTGAACCCGGGCCAGATCGAACCATGATTTCCCTTTCCGAGGGCTCGCGCATTACCACGATGCAGCACAGCGGCCCTTGATTTGCGTCCCTTTTAGTTAGCTTTCTACCTAACACTGTGATCAGCAATCACCCATCACCGGGATTGAACCGATGATATCTCAGCATCGTTATGGTTGTATTTCACATCATACCCTGCCGTGAAAATTAAAGCAGACAGCAAATAGCAAAAAAGGTTAACGTTGTTATTCTTATGACTGGCTTAGTCTTAAAATTTAACGAGAACCCACTTTTTTCTGGACATTTATTCCTAGTAGTGTTAAATTTAGTCAAAGAGTTCACAGGATCCAGAAACATTTTTTTTCAGCTAAAATTATAATACTACTAATTTGGCTGAAAGTAATTAAAAAAACTAAAGCTCTCGGCGTCGATCAATCCCTGAGGGATGCACCACGCATTCGACTTCATTAAGCTTCGTTCGGAGGTGATTGATTGAATGCATATCTGGCCTTTACAGTGATTCGCGGGATGGCCTACTGATGTTTCGAGCCGGTGCTGCTATTCTCCCAGACAAGTCTGGTATCAATTCTCCGAACCCGGAGGGATGGAAGGTTTGGTGGGCCATGGGCGCGAGGTCGATTCCACGTGTGTGTCGCAGTGGCGCCTCCAACTACTGCGCCACACGCACCCTGATAATAATTACTGGTTGGAAAAGTTAAAGAGAGATTGTCAACCTACAATGGTGGAAATAAGGAAGTAAAACGCAAACCATCTTAGAACAGCTTTCGTTGGAATAATATGTGGTAACTTGAGTACCCAGGATACTTGGAAACGTGCTTTGTTAGGAAAATGCCGAACGTCACAGCGAATATTGTTGGGAGCTACATATGTTTTAAGTACAGGTCGTAGCGAAGCAGTAAGCTATGTTGACTATAAAGGAAACTAATTTTTCAGGCTGGGAAGACGGCTATATCGAATTATTTGGGAGAACAAATTGACATAGAATCGCTCGGAGAATATCGTCCAACAAAAGGTCAGCTTCTACATCGGCTTTGTTTATTTTTTCTTCTCGGCATTTACCGATGCCCACCACTTTATTCCTAAGAAGTTGACACAAATTTCTTAATTAACGTTGTGGTTCACATAGAAAAAAATCGCATATTCAAAGGTTCTTAAGTCAGAAATCTTCTGGCTGTGCTACCATACTTACTCCCCTACACCTCCGTCTTAATGCAAAGCTTTCCTTGACGAATGCTGATAAATTTGGACAGCTCTTTCTTTTGATACTGGGATTAAACTTTTCAACTTATAATTTGACCTGCGATAGACAACGTATTGGCAGATTTTCCCTTATTCAGAATCCAAAACTGCTCATATTACTACACAAGTTGCCAGGTGAAACATTTTCATAACCTCACCTAATTAGATACAGATGTCTAGTTTCCTAGCTTGATGACCTGCTTCATTTCTCATCGACGTGTTGAATGCTATTCGAGAGAGGTATTCTGTGGAATTCCGAGATAGACATGCTACGATATATTGGGGCCTCGTCGACACTTGTCGATCGCAAGCGGGTTAGCCAGCAAGCAATGACATTGCGATTAGGATTCCTCTGCAATGGCAGCGATTCCTGAGATTAGTAGAGCAACGACCGCGGAGACGATGTAGGCGGCTTAACCCATCGTTTAATAAGCATCCATTTTTCCTTAGAAGAAAAATAACTCACCAAAAAGGATAGTATTCAAGATGCAAAAAGCGATCTGCCAATACATTCGCCATTGTTATGTAAACAGCCTCTTAATCAACAAGTATGAACTAATCAAATGCAGGACAACTTATTGTTCAGTGCGGAAGTGAACTGACAATCAGTCTCGGGATTTGCTCACTTGAGTACTTTCACTGGAATGTTTGAACATTGGAGATTCACGCAGCTGACAACGGATGTGAGAGAAATGACTTTACTAAAGAATATTCTATGAAAGACAAAACGAAGTATAAAGGACCAGCCCCAGCTGAACTGCTGTGTAACGACCGCGAGTAGAGAGTAGAGTAAGTGCGAGCATCGAAAGTGTGGATCAGCTGAAATTTTCGGACAATACTGCGGAAAAACTAGTGTAACCAGTAAAGCGCATTATTCGATGGTTTGAAAAATCGGACAAGAGTAAAATATGACAGATGTGAATATTTTGGTGATCGCTTGCCATCAGTCATTTATTATCAGCGTTATCAATTTTTCTGACTGAATTTCTTTTTGGCCACTTCGAAGCGATAAGAAGTGGACAGAACAGTAACGGGAACACCAATCGATATACATTGTTTGAGTGTGCTATGGAATTGTCGGCAAAGACAAAGAACATCTTACCACATAGACACTCTACTTGGTCGTTATTCCTGGTTGATGTGAAGAGAGGACAGTTGTCTCAAGTCCACCAATAGGCAAAGAAAAGTCATTCTTAGGCAAATTCTCTGAGAGTAACCTAGAAGAAAGTGGAAATGCGGTGTTGAGTGGAACAAAGCTTTCATCTTCAACGAAGGAGCACACTGTCGAGTACTGTCTTCTCGAAGGAAATGACACGCTACGAGCGCAGCACACTGCAGTTAGCATAAACTAGTCTTTTCAAAACGTTGGGAAATCAATGTAACTGGGTTGGTGATCCACATTTGTATGGCGGTATTTTGTTCGGAATTGAAATTCAACATTCACTAGGCCTAGGATTTTTAGAACGCCAATGATCTCTTTATGGGCCATAAATAAAGATGCAAATCGGTTTATAGAGACCCTAAGCTCTTCACGTTGGTAGCAAATTCGTACCTGATTGTTCGTATATAGCTTTCCCAAGAAAAATTATTCAAATTATTGTTACCAAATAGAACTAGCTAGATAAAACCATTTTGAGTTGGCGCAGGAGCTCCACGCGATACCGGTTTAGTATGGCAACTAGCAACATTGGTAATGCACATTTGGTAGATGAGAACTGACCGGATCTATGCAAGGCAAGCGTAACATGGCACGGTGATGCGTTTCATGGCATGAGTGGATGATTGTTTGTGCTTGGGTGAACAACGAAGCCAATCATCGCTGGCTCGAAGGAGGATGGTATTAATGAGACTGCCCTCACCGGAAAGCCCGCCCACGACCTCTAATGCGTGTAATGAGGGAAGGAAGAATTGGTGCGACGACCCTTCGGCGATACTTCTTTGTTACGAAGTCAAATGGCGAATGTGATCGATAACAATGTAAAGAAAGAAACGCAGTTTTTTCCTTCTTTGTTCATCACGGTTTTATCGAATGAGAGGACCCTTTACTCATTTTGACCAGTTAAGATAAAAACATCAAACGACTCTGTAATGGATATGAAGGGGTTGATGACAGCTAGGCTCTGCCTGAATAGCTAAACTCTTTGCTGGTTTACCTATATGAATTAGTACCAAGCTGCAACGCTATGAAAAGGACAGGAACACGACGAACAAGGTCTAAAGTACTGCGGAAAATTTTCTACACACACCGAAACTTAGTTGGTAGCATCACCTACTGTGGTTATTGTGCTTTCAACATTGTGAACACGAGGATGCCTAGTCTGATGCAACTGCAGTGTTTCCCCTTCCTTTCAAAAGGAAAAAAATTGCTCCCTATGTGGTAGCACGCCTCTCGAATGGGAGGGGTGACAGCTAATGGAGAAGTATCACATCAACGTGCCATATTTCAACTACAAATGTGTAGAAATAGACCAGCTTTTGTGAATTGTAGGGGTTCGCATCGTAGAATTCGAGAGCCACGAGTTGGATATTCGCGAGCAGAGAATCGAGATCGATGTTGAGTTATGGGATTGCAGTGGAGATACAAGGTAAGTGATGATATACAAGTAATGTGAGAGCACGACATGTTCCCACAACCCAGTTTCCAGCTACTTTAATTCTTGCAAGCCCGTGTGTTGTTGGTTGGTTGGTGGTTGTATTTTAAAACATTTGGGAGCCCATGCGACCTATGGAACAGAAAAGAGTCCTACTCACCACATTTTCACCTTTCCTGTATACCCATGTTTGTCTCAAGATTTCCCTGGACAAATTTCTACAAAACAACTACAAGTGATGTATTTCAACGAGAAAATGCACCACCACTTGTAACCTTCCGTGAAATGATTCAATTTCGGAATTTTTTTTCTGGGATTTTCTGCCATTGAAACGACTTTTTTTCGCACAGCCTTTACAGAACGAACGATTATGGGCAATTCTGCAATTCAGTTTTCCATCGCAGCGTGCTTCCCAGGCTAAATTTCTTACTGAGTCCTCTGAAAACACCTTGACTTTCCCCTTCCAAGCTGCTGCAGATCTTTATTTTCTTTGAACTTAGAATAAAAGGTAGTTTACAGTAAATGCAAGATTTCGATTCATAGATACCGCGATTGCTGGCCAGCTATTAGAGAGGGCATCGAGGGAGTGATCCTCGTTGCGAATCCAGACGAAAACAAAGGAGAGGATCTAAAAATTTGGTGAGTGCTGAAGTTTCGCGTCATCGGAATCACAAATAACAAATCAAATCTTACGGTAGAAATTGTTCTCAACTGTTATCGGTTAACAGCCGCCAAAGAGCAATATGATGTTGTTCGTGTTCAAATGAAAAAAAAAGATTAGGTAGGGCGTGTTGTCTTTGAGCACTCTAGCCCGCAGTCATCACCGTACTGCGCAAATTCTACTATTGCTAGATTATGAAGAGATGGTGATAAGTTTTGTTAAGCCCTGCTACTATTTCCCTCCTGGCGATGTTCGTCGTCATCGTTTTCCTTCTACCCGTCATCTCGGCAGTTCGTAGTCATCACCACCTTCTTTCGAACTAAGGTCCTTTCAACCATAAAACAAATCTCTCTGGAGAACTTACGAGGTGTATAAATCTTTCCGCTGTAGTAAAGCTTTGCGATGCCCAAAATGAACGACATCGACCGATGAAAACTTAGAAACAGTGTAAATACGCTGGAGTGCCTGCAGAAAGCATGATCAAATGGCAACTGCTGGGTCAGCCGGGAAATTCAAATTCAAATTCACACCGGGTCAATGAAAATTCAAAACAAATGGGAAAAAAACTTGAAGAACTTATGTTCTTGAAAAGTTTGCCTCACTACTATCTATGCAACTGTATGATTCGCTACTTTTAGTTAAAGACAATAATGGACCGTTTTTCATGAGTCTTTGTCAATTCATCGGGATGCTTCTCAACATTGCTAGTGGAAGATGACAAATGACAAATGCAATGACACGATGCGCGCGAAGAGGCGAAGAGAGGAAACCTTAGGTCGGAACGCGCGAGGCCCAGATGAGGCCAATATCAGATCGAAATGACACCTTATTGCGATGTGCTTACGTCCTCCCCATATCGCCAATATGAACAAGAGACGAGCTCACTCTAGTTGAATCAACAATGCCAACAATAAGGCTAGAAGAGGGATCGAGCGCCTGGGCGGAAGATGTCCTCACCGCGAGGCCCCGTCGATAGAACGAACACCCGTGCAAATTGCTGTCATATCGGACCGATCCACATAACATCAGCAAAGAATGTTTGTGAGGAAAAAACCACCCAGGCCCCATAAAGTGTTTTCACGCTAAAGGATCATACGTGTCTCAAACTGCTGAAAAAACTGCGTCGTTCAGTTTCATATAAACATGTCTCAATTCATAGTGATCTTCGTCCACAAAAAATCTCCACATCGCCAAATCGACTAAATAAAGTTTGCTCATTTCACATAGATGAAATTCTAGTTTTTTAAAAATCATAAGGACCTTTCATAATGCGGCTTGTATTTCCAACAGCTTAGGTGACCGAACAAGCGGCATACAACCATGATGCCAAGACATTTGCAAAACTCCGGACCGCAGGTGTTCGCGGTGGGGAACGAACGCGCTATTACCTTTTCCGGGGACTAACCCGTTCACCACCACACCATGCGGGTCCTTCGTTTCGCCTGCCTCTCAGCTAATTGAACAAGCGACACTTCGCTGGACAGGGCAAGATCTTATCCTCCCTCCGAGTGTGCTTGTGGTTGCCACGATTGCGTTGAAACTTTCGAACACCTAGATTTCTGGGTAATTTTCCAAAGACATGAGCCTTAAACAAATTCTAAACCGATAGAATATTTTCTAAAACTTACACACATGCCAAAGTGCATAGCAGGGGAAGAGTAGACAAAACCTCTTCTATAAGTGGGTCAAGTTTCTAATTTGTTAAATATTCAGCCTGTCAATAAGAAATTGAATTAAATAGAGAAAGCAACATAGTACGTTATCTATAAATGTACTAGCTAACAGTGGGCCACATAACCGTACTTTATTTCGGTGATGATGAAGACATGTTATGTTACCCTTGATCTACCACTGAACTGCCCACATTAAACGCTGCCATCCTGGAAGGATAGTAGTTGGAAGCCATCAAACCTCCCTTATATTTAAAAAAAAGTCGCAATTGCACGTGATAGAGATCTGGGATTTTCGTGTCACGGTAGTCTTACGACTGAGAGCAGGACCACGCTAAAAAAGCATTCAATAAGTCAATCAGGAGACAATACGATAGAACTCCAGCAGGGCGAACCACTACACTAGTCAGATAACTACTATTGATGGCGTTTGCACGACAAGAAATTGAATGGGTTACGACGAGATGTGAGGATGGGTCACGTAGGTAGCTAAGTAACTAAGTGGTGAACACCAAAAAAGCAAAAACAAAACTCTGAATGCTATTATGTCAAAAGAAGCACTACTCTATATTGAGAAACTGTAAAGCTCTAAAAAGCTCTCGGTGGTGATCAAACCCTGAGGAATGCGCAATGCATTCGACTTCATTGAGCATCGTTGGAGGTGATTGAATGCATATCTGGGCTTTACGATGACTCGCTGTGGCCTAACGATGTATCGAGCCAGTGCTGCTATCCTCCCGAAGAAGTCTGGTACCAATTTGCCGACCCCGGAAGGATGGAAAGCTTACCGAGCCAGGGAAGCCGGGATCGATCCCATGTGTGTGCTGCAGGGCGCTTCCGACCACTGTGCCACACACACCTTGTTGGAAAACTGCACTGTTGTTTATTCTTGAATTTAAATCTGCTGTTACCATTTTATCGACCGCAATCTGCTTATCTTTGATAGTATTTCTAAATCGCAATGATCACTACGCAAAAAGAGCAAGAGGGGCAAGTACCAAATAAAAAATGTTAGATAAATTAACGTCGCAACGTCGGAGTGCCTGTTTGCCTTCCTCCATCAGACCACTTCTTGGTGAAAAACAAAACATTGAATTCAGTCGAATCAATAGTAGCTATTGGTTGCAGTCGAATCAATATCAACGCTATTGATTGGATGGCTTTGGTTAGCTAAGTGGTGATGTGGTGATAGTTATATTAAATGTTCACTTTTTTCACTGATAGGCTGATATAAGGATGGTGCCAAGATTTATTCGGCTAACGTTTTAATGTCTTCATCAGAGCCTAGTTATTTTAAATTTCGAATGTTTGAAGATCGAAAAAACAAATTTAATTAAGCCAAAAATACAATGTGGAGAGGACGTCGTAAAATCAAAAACGTGCATTCGTAATCCTTCACATATTTTTTGACCGTTGATGGACAAGTTACCGTATCGCTTGCGAGGGTTGTAAATTAAACCTTTGTTTCGTGATGACTAACGCTTCGGCAGATTTTTCTTTGTTCATAGTTGAGTGTCTCACTGACTCCGTGCAGGTGGTCTCACTTCGCACAATGTTAACAACAAAAAGGAAAATAAAAACGTCTCTGTAGAAGACGAAATTGACTGAAACGTTAGCTGTTGTGAAATCAATGTCATCCTAACAACCCTATGTTGGCTCATCAAGAACACTGCGATTTATCAGCCACGAGGTCAAGCGTAGGTGGAAAGTTGGTTCAGAAAACTGCTAATGCAGTTAGAAAGAATCTAACTTCTAATCTAACTGACTACATAAGTTGGAATTTTTTGAGCGCGTGGGTGTTAGTTATCCTTGCAGGTACCAGGAATTCATTGCCGCCACGAATTTGGATCCCGGGAATGTGTTAATCGTTCTGAACGAGATCGGTGAGAAACGAACAAATGACGGAGCAATCTCGGAGTTTCGGTGAGTTGTAAGTAATTTTCACGAGTTTCTTGGACAGCTATCACAAATGTCGTATTTTGTGTAACATAAGGGCCAGCGATGCTGGTCATTAGTCAGACGCGTTATTGAGCCTAATTTGATTCGCGGAAAGAATTATGACAACTCGTTAAAGAAAAAACATCTAGATAACAATTCATTCATCACTGTCATTACGAATTTAATGCTATGAATTTGTAGTAAATGAAGTCTATTTGACTAGACCATGGTGGATGCACAGGGGTGAATGGAAGGTTTGTTAAGCTGAGGATGAGCACATGTGTAGCTCTGGATTTTGACAATTAGAACTTATGTGATATGAAGAATGGGATACAACAGTTGACGTTGATCAATGTACTTGCACTCTGGGTTTGGAAGTCGAACTAGTAGGATGTTTAAGAAGTGGCTTCCTGCACTATACTGATCAGAGTTTGTATACAAGAAAGAAGGACTCTACCATGTGGAGAGTACTATCAGTTACCCCGTTATGGATAGGTTCAAAAATTTTGACATATCATTGAGAACTAAGCCAGTTCCATGCATATTTGAAATCACGGTTGGAAGGGAACGACGTCAGGGATAGGTGCAAGCCCTCCCCATGAATTCATAGAATGAGGGGAGCCACAAGTTGGAGGAATGATGATCAACAAAAGATAAAGTACTGTTTTGCTCATGAATTTTGCCATTCGAATTAGCTCGCAACGACAATTATCACTTCCTACTTGATTAGGTACTTGAATATGAAGTACATCCTTAACATATAGATTTCCAGTAAGAACATTTTTATGGAGTTTTTAACTCACACTGGATTTCGTGTAGCAAATCCAAGGAACCACTTTCTTCTAAGTTCTCGGCTGATAAATAACTCTAATCACGCTTTTCTACTATGTTAATTCTTGTGCAGTAGAGTTTCGAACGAAGAGTTTTTACGCCCACTGGTGGTGTTTTGAGCCTATGATGAAGTTACTTGAGTTGTCAAACACTTCATGTGTGGATAAGCCTCCTTTCGATATACACTTGCACTTTTGGCTTACCGCTCACCATTACTGAAAACCAGGAACGAGCCAGATGTGGTAAAGGGCACGTCTTTGCTCCACGTACAAAATGGAGACGTCTTTTTTGAAGGATTTGTGCCCCATTCACTTGAGTGTTTCGTAAGGAACATATCATGCATTGAACCCCATTCCGAGAATCGAGCTGGTTAAATGCATATTTTGCTTAGACATTGACCTTCGGTGCTGGTGTACCAAACCAGCGTCCCTATCTCGCTAGACAAGACTAGCATCAATTTGCCAACCTGGAAAAACGGAGTTTGGTTGTTCCGAGGTGAGAGGTCGAACCAACGACAGATCCTGTGTGTACTGGAAAGGACTCCTAACCACTACGTTACGCATAACTACGACCAAGAAACAATTAATTCAAATAAGTTACAAAACAACAAAGTTAGAATGAAATAAAAGGATAATAAATTGCGCGCATTAGTACTCTTCGGTCGCGACAATAACAATGGCCTGCCTCATCATGCAAGGCACCACCGTATCAATTTGATTTCAGCCTTCCTCCGCAGCTTTCGCCTGCAGTTTGCGCGGCATGTAATCTTCGCAACGAAGGTGAACAACTTCGTCTGGAGTTTAACCAGTTTCTTGTCACCATAATCGCCAAGTCCGAGGACCAACAACGAAACGACGAATAGCGTAGTACTTTCTTGTCTTTCGGTCTGATCATAAAGAATTCAGGACTTTTTCAAGCGCATTGGTAGGTGACTTTCAGACTAGAGTATTAATAAAGCACCTAAAATCAGAATCTACAGTGTAAACCATGTTTTCCAACTTCACAAGTGCAACTTATCATTAAATCGGTTCCAGGTTGAAGGTCCTTGAATTTTTCTTTCATTTGACCAAAAAATTGATGGAAGAGCTTGCGTATTTCCACGAACCTCTAGCTGCTAGAAGTGATTTGTTTAAATTTACTATTATTAGTTGAAATTATTTTTGTATTGGGGTGTTAATGGGAGTCAAAAGGCAGCTGAATAACAGGAGCTCCAGGATAGCCAGCACCCAAGTTAGGAAGGAGTTTAGCATTCCCAAGAGGAAGACCAGCACATTTTCACTCGGAAGTTAGGCTAAGAGGGAATCTTCGCCACGACAACCCAGTAAGCTGCTCATCGCCACTTTTTGATGAGGAATTGTAGGAATCAAAATCCATCATATCGAAAGGGTGTTCGTCGTGGTGTTCAAGCCCAATGGCGTCTTCCTGACCACTTGGTGTTGCTACTTCAGTTATCCGATTACAATTTCAAATAGTAGGCAACTATTTTGTTGTATCCATCAATCAACAATATTTAAGGGGTAACAGTCGAAATCGAAGTCGAAAAAAGTCACAAGAACAGTTAACCAGTTGTTAAAACACGTTACCGCCCATCTAACGAACACCCAAATATTCCTGGATCGTCTAAATAACGCGCGTCCTAACAACGCGTACGTGATGGAGTCCTCCGACGTTACCACTCTTTATAACAAACGTGTCGAATGGTTCCGGTATGCAAGCCATCCTCAAACTCCCTATGGAACAGGAAAGAGCAATAAACATGAACGGCTTCTCAATTAAGCACCTTATGGCTCTCCTAAAGGAGTGTCTGAATTGCTCAATCTTCTGATGTTCGTGAAAATATTTCACACAAATTACAAGGTTGAGATTGGGACAGCGACTGGCTCCAAGCGACATTGCATATATGTTTGAAATAAAAGCTCCAGCAATCGACCTTCGGCCATTACCCAACTGTCGGTATATCGATGATTTATGCTCCATAAATGAGGAGATGGACAGACGTTTTGAGTTATTCAACGGACAGTAAGAATACACAAAATTCACCGCAGAGGTGCTGAAAGTGAACTGGTTTCCATTTCTGAACATTCAAAGTAACCTATGCCAAGATAGCGACATCACCAAGTGGCACCGAAAGCCAAGTAGCAAAAACATACTTGTTCATTACCTCTCCTCTCATTCTTCACACAAAAAAGGTGCTTGTGAGATACATGTTTGGAACAGTCGCCAGTGTGTGCAGAGGAAGAGAGCAGTAGGAGTAATTCCTCAAATTTGCGTGGCAAATAGCCATTTCAAAAGGCTATAAAAGTGTGCCTCCTCGGTGTAAGTGTAGAGAAAAACCACGCCCCCAAACGGCAGTTCTAACAAGAATAGGGGCCCATTTGTCCTGTCCTTTACTTCCAACGAAATAGGGAGAGCTATAAAAACGCTGCATAAGAAAGGTTGGTCTAGAGAATTCGGTAACAATGATTGAAATACTACCGGACACTCTAAGACGTGAGTTAGTTCGTAACCGCTTCTATGACCGCCTGTACACAACGCAAAATAGCATAAATTCTCCTTACGGTGGAAACAGTGATTGAATGAGTTCGGAAACGCTGTACTTAATCACTTATAAAATGTAGGGGAGCATTTGTCCATTTCCTCATGTTGGCGAAACGGGTCGACCACTGTGTGCTCGTATAAAAAAACAACTGATCGATAAACTTAAAGTTGAACTAAATACTCCACTATATGCGCATAGGACAGAGAGGCATAACGAGGAGCATTACCATCCTCGTAGAGGAATCGAAAGCTTCAGCGCGCAAAACTCTCGCAGCATTCTAGGTAAATTCCATGAAATCCAGAACGAACCGCCGGTAGGAATAGTTCGTTGTGACGCGTGATCTCGTACAATGCTTAATACTGATATTTTAACGTGAGAGGCAGAGTACACTTCCATGTGAACTCTGTGCGATTGGTCTTCACGTGAAATACTCAGTAAAAGACTCATAGAAAACGGTGAGTGCGCGAAGAACCTATTTAGTTTCCGGTATACTTGATTCTGCCTCTTTTCTGTTTTGGTTATGGAGCTGTTTAGTTGAGCAGATTACAGTAATTTGACGCTTCCACAGCCTGAAGAAAGCGAAATCTGCTGAACGGTCAGTTTTTCTTTTTACTAAAGAGTAAACCGACGAGATCGTGTTTTCTTATCGAAAAAAGTGAATTAAGTCAAAATAAATCAGAAAATAACGTACTTTGTTAATATCTTCACAAATCACTCGTCAAAAATGTCTCAGTTAGTGCCGGCAATGATAAGGGCGCGTGTACACCAGTTGCGGTTAGAGGTGCCCAGAAATACGAATTGGATATGCCCTTGGTTCGATCACTAGCAATAGGCTCACCAAGTCTTCTATCCTTCCGGGGTTGGTAGATTGGCAGCAGACCTGTCTGGGAGGATAGCAGCAATGACTCAATACATCATCAGTAGGCCGCCGCAACTCACTGCGGAGGTCAGATAAGTATTCAATCACCTCTAGGATCCTAGATAAAGCTGAGTGCCTAGCGCATCCTTCAGGGATTGATCAACATCGAGAGCTCCATCCCTTACTCTTCATCGTACGATCATAAGAAGTGGATTCGAATCTTTAGATCGCCGTCGATAGGTCAATTAATTAATTCAATTTAAATTAATTAATAACAATTAATCACAGACCATACTGCTGCCATAGGGACAAAGAAATTGCAAGGCTGGAATCCCCCATTCGATCTGCGAGGACCTACAAATTTTTTGCGATAAAGAGCGAGGAAATCCCTGCTTATCATGAACTATGTCAAAACCAAGTTGGAAACCATGAACAACAACAACAACTTATTATCCCAATGAGGTAAGAAGACGACAAATACTCAATATGTCGCCGGTGACTCCTCACTAGCACTCGAACATCCATAAGGACAATAGTTCAAGGGCTATGAGTCGAATGGAAATGTGGGCTTTGAACTATACGAGAGGACACTTCATCGTATGAGAGAAAACTAAGGACTCTCTAAAGGCTATAAAGCATAAACACTGCCTTCACTGTGGGATGGATCTGATAACCAGCAAAGTTACTCCTAATTTACTACAAAATTTTTTGCTTATAATGATCTACTTAAAAGTGTTAGCTCAAGTGGAATTTCATTTGTTCACCATTACCGTTAAAATAGGCTGTTGAGATGTGAAGGCAAAGGTGCAATACTTTCCTGAAAATCATTGCCTATACTAAGTGTTAAAAATCCCGGCGTAATAAGGAAAAATAAGAACACGAATGTTGTGAAAAACAAATTAAAAGGATAACTATGAAAAAAAGAGAGAGGGTGCTGTGCTCTCATCTGGTTTTCGACGAGTGATCATAAATAATAACCGCGCCGCAATTGAGTTCGCATGGCGCCGCATAGTTCTATCAGGACGACGAATCGCCACTGTCGACGTCAACCTGCACTGTACCATCCACGACGACTCCTGTAGTGTCGTAGTTATCATGGGTTACCCAACGAATAGAAACGCATCCTTTCTATTCCCGAAATTGAAGCCGTCTTTGCCTCGGCTACGTTTTGAGCAATTTTAAAAAATCAAAACTCCACTCTATTATCTCAATTTTAACTCGTTTTCTTTGACCAGAGCGCATGAACGGTGTCTTCAGATATAAATCGTCACACACAATACCTAGACGGAATGCAAAGCTCTGAACCTCGAAATTTATCTCTTCTTCTAAACCCAGAAAAAAACACATCGATGGCTAAACATATATGAGCTAGTCATATAATAAGAAGAGCAGATGACAGCTGGACGAAAAGAACTGTAGAGTGGACGGAGCCACCCAAACGTTAGGTGGAGTTGTTCGTAACAAAAGTCAATTAGCTGTGCTTGGATTCAATTGTTCCTCTGATCACAGTATGAGGCTCGCACCCACCACCATGCTCGAATCGAAGTACCACCATGGACGATAAGTGCGAGGCAAGGAAACGAATGGAAAATGTGCTGTTCGGCACAACTCGTGCAAACGGGGCGTCAGGCATCCAAGGAGCTCTGGACAATGCTCTTTTCATCAAAAATTGAACCACTCCACTTTCGCATAAATGTAACTAGTGGGCAACTGCTTTAAAACAGCGTTATGTGAAAGCAACGTGGAAGTGGAAGTTATGTGTAACTGCAATTCAGCACAATTGGTGGTATCAGTAGACGAAATCAAAGACTAGACGCATATAGGTTTCCCTACAATGGAAAATTTCGAGGAAAGTGAAGTTAAGCAGAAATTAATTGGAAAAAGGAGAACTGATTATGAAAAGAGGTCTTTCTTTGGTATATGAGAATTCCGTCCTAGACAGAGGTACGAGGAGAGCGAGTGAGGATGTGCCTGCGACAGGACGGTGTCCAGTCGTCGCGATAGGGATCGACGCCGGACTCATGAATCAGCTGGCGGCGACGATGCCTATCTGATGCGGTAGCGCTCAGAGATTCAAGCGATACTGAACTTCAAATTCGAAAACGAAACCATTTAGCGCGAAAAAAACATCTGCACAATTTTCAAGGACTTCGCAACCAAAAGGGCGGCCAATTGATTATGTGGTATAACTTAGTGAACTGAAACCTGCTTAACAGAATAGTTAACAATGAGGAAATTGTAAGAAGATTACTTCCTCCCTTTCATATCCTTTAGTACACCGCTTCATAGAAATTAAGTTTATCATTTTTGGAATGTCTAAATGCTCTGATAAGTCAGAAATTGGTGGCCACCGCAGTCCGTAGAATATTTCTTGTGGAAGCTTCACGAAAACCCAAAATCTCCCACTATGGCCTAGTTCGAAAATTGTTCTTCATACAGTTCCGCCTATTGGCACCAGGATGGGCGCGATCGTGGCATTTGATAAAATTTCAGATAGCAACGCATGACAGAGTTTAGGAACATGAGAGCGAAATCTAAAAATTCTAAGCATAGAACAAGAAAATCTTTTCCCTAATCTCCGTGTCATATTAGTAACCCATTCATTAATTTTTTTCCAAAAAATTATATGTGAATTCGTTTTTTCGTACAAGGATTGGCGAACGCTAGCCGATAACTTTCCAACGTCCTCTGTATTCGGTTTTGTTAGGGACTGGATTCAATCTTTAGATCAGATGCCTACATGTACCCGTACCCGTACCCCTAATGGCTCAACGTCTTCTGGTACCTCAGTGTCGTTTCTGGGTTTTCAACTAAAATCTGTTGAAGGTGATTCATTCCCCAGGAAGGTCTCTCAAGCTATGAACGAGTTAGACGTCGTGAATCGGAAACATAGGAGTAAACAAGTACCAGCAACCAATGCCAGGATGGCCTGGCAGGAATATAATTGCCAGCGGGTAAGCCATCAAGAGATTGGAAAAGCTTAGCACGGGATTCTCCCGTTCCGAAAGTCCAGGTAACGAAAAAGTTACCTAACTAGTTCCTAGTGCGGAGGGAAATGTTTTGAGCTTCAGACGATTTTTCGTGAATCGTATAAAAGGTTCATTCAACCTTATAATTAGTGCAAGTAAATCATTCGTAATATTAGCTTCGACTGAAGTGCAACGAACATTCTTTGGCGTTTTTCCACTTTTTAACTAATACCATTTAACCCCATTTTAGCAATAGGCAGGTTGAAAACGGCCACAGTACGGCATGAGAAATGACCTTACCTCTGATGGTTAAGTGCTAACTCAAAACACATTCCCTAAAATCCTCATAAAGCGCTCTCCAATGCAAAGTTTAATTCTGCTCTGCTACACAAAAACCACAAGATATTGAGGTCCAAAAAATTCGGAACGGACGCCTTTTTATATAACACAAACAATATATGTATATACTATAAGATGCCGATTATCTCGATATGAAAAAAGTAAAGACCATCATACTTCCTTTACTGGAAGCCTCAATGCAAAATCACAAAAAGTTCTTGGTGGTTCGAATAAAGGCTATTGAAACGGCAATCAAAATTTGTTCCAAATTTCTGGTATATAGCTTAGACGACGTATGAGCGGTAACACCTGACAATAAGCCACTTTGGTAAGTCATAATAAACAACTTAGAAAATTCTGAATCTCAGGAGAAGAGAATCTCTGATGAAAATTAGAGAAATTTTCAAGCAGTCTACCTTGCTACTGATTCATCAACATATCGAATTCTATTGATAAGCTGACTATTAACTACGCTTTCGGTTATTTGATTTTGAATGAAAGCCGATTTCAAACGGCTTCGATTCGTTGGCGCCAACCTAGAGCGAGTTGGATACAACTATAGAAAAAAACGCCTTCGGTATACGGTCAGCAGATTTTAGGTTGGCCTTTTTGGATTCCTCGCTGTCTTGATTTCATAATGTTTAGAGAGGAAAGAGTTAAACTCACACTTCGATCGAGCTATTTTTCAGAACAACATTATTGAATATTTAGTTACATGAATAGGCGTCTTGGTGCACTGCACATGTCTCTCATATTAATTCATTCGCAATGAAATTCAAAACCTAACAAAACCAAGCGTAACAGAGTTATGAACCATTAGAATGGAGAACGAGTACGGCGGAAACAAGATGAAGAACTTTTACTAAATAACCCAATGCTCATTAATTGGTTGTTCGGCGAAACACAAAAGCGGTGGACGTAATGGACCAAAATGACCTCACCAGCGACAACATGCAACTGAAACTCAGCCAACACCAGACATGATTTATCAAATTCCCCAACAAAGTTGTCAATTTTTCTAAGCTGTTATGAACACAACTCTCTTTACTCGACAACCAATTTAAAACTAGAAAATTAGTTCTAGGCCCTAATTTAAAAAAGGAGAACGACAAACGCTGTGTTAGAGATGTAGTGCAGAGCATGGCCGCTGATCCGACCCCGCCCCGCGGTGAACAACGTTCTCACTCCTCAGAGGTCGATAAGCTCGCACTGGATGTCGTTGTAGGGAAAGCTCACTCCGATCCGCAAAGGCCGCTGACTGCTTGTAGTGAGGAACTGAGAAACCTGTGGTAGAGCTATGCCAGATTCTATGGAGAATCAAGTCGACCATGATTCAATGATAAAAAATGTCTTCAAGTGGTAGCCAAACATATGTAAAGACTTTTGTGGATGATGGATGCGAGACAACAAATGAATCAGATGTTCTAGGATCAGCCCAAAATACGAAACTGATTCTGATAACTAGAATCAGTTCTAGAATGACTAAACTATTCCACACTTAAGGTCGATGGAAGAACTTGGACAAGCAATTTATTTGCGAATGATAAAGCACAGACTTGTTGGACAAGTGGTCGGTCGCAAATCCCTGCACTTATCGAATCCACATTAACCGCCTCAGTGAATTCATAATTGGATTACGAATACAACGAAACATTTCATTGGGAGCTCTATCATTTTTACATATAAAAAAGTTTTACTGTAAAAATGTAAAACTCTCACATAACGCCGTCTTCATTAGTCATTTAGATTTCCTTCTCAATAATTCCGGAGGAAAGTCTCGGTTCTCAAGAACGAACATAGCCATCCTTCGTTCTAGGAAATTCTCGTAACTTGCGTCGTTCTCCTTCGGAAAGCTTCTTTCTTATGTGATAATGAAACTTTCCTATCATCACTTTCAATTTCTCGACTGGGAAAATCACTCTTGACATGTCGATGAGATTCGGTTCACTCTGCATTCAGTCATTATCAGCATCATCGATAATAGACGAGCACTTCACTGCATCCACGAATATTATCGCTAAAAAAGAAGAGAAGCACCGAAACTTGCTGATTTCCCAGGTCATGTACTGCGCATTCTGTCGAAGACACCTAGATTACCGACAGTGTTTGCTCTAGACATTACCGTACTTTGTAAAAGAGCCGAATAGCATCTCGTATGGTATCGTAGGATTTTGCGTGGTATGGTAAACGCTTCCTAAAGGCCGCGTAGCCTGGCGTGGAGACAATGTTGGTCGGCGTTCACTAGGGTGCTTCTAAACTCTATCTCCTACGCTGTTCGTTCACTAGTTCCTAATGCCACTGTTGGTGAAACACCTTAGACACATTGAGCTGTTCCTAATAGACTGACCCTCAACCGGTTTCATTTCTAGGATATAACGATGTCGCCGACAAAACAAATGCTGTGGAGAAATTTTTCTTCGACACGAATGCCCTTGCTCTCCTATACGAGTGATCACATCATCCACTGTATTGTGGTTATGAATAAAACCGTCCCATACATGACATTTTATACACCCCCTTCCTCTTCCTGATCGAAATTTCGGTGTGGTGGTTTGGAGTGGAAGAAACTCGTTGTGTGACCTTCTATGTTTTCTCTACGCGATGTCCTACTCTTTCGTTTCCCGTCCATAAATTCGTATCCTGAAAAGTATTTGCTCGAATGTATGAATGGCCCGCCTTCAGAACGAAATCCTATCAGCACTGACACATTTTTCATTTGATTGGAATGATGCTTATTTGACGAGATGTTTTTTCGGTAATTTCAGTAAAAAAGACTTCAAAGTATTCCTATGTCTTTCTAGATAATCGCCGACTTTTATGGATCGGGAGAATACAACCACAACGTTGCTGAGATATTTGCAAAACTCTGGACCGCAGGTGTCTATGGTGGGGAACGAACGCGCTATTGTCCTTTCCGGGGAGTAACGCGTTCACCACCACACCATGCGGGTCCTTTGTTTCGCACGTCTCTCAGCTATTTCTATCGATCTTTTTGCCACAGCAATCACCCGTCAGCG